AAGGTCTTTCCCTGGGCTGGCCTAGGAGTAGGATGTAAGTATACTGTAAGTAAGAAAAGATGTTATGTGAATGGAAATACTGCATCTTCTCTACTCTGAAGTTAATATCAGTTCGGATCAGCAGCTACAGCATTTGTGGACTTCTAGTATTGGAAAATCTGAATATTCAGGATGCAGCTGTTGCAATCAAACATGCTCTTAACTCCTCAGAAAGGAGCTACTTGTTTTGAATTGTGTGTGTGTACGTTAAAGGTAATATTTGAATCCACTTAGAGAATTTATTGTTGTAACCAAGCTAATATATGGGTATGCCTGTCTTTCCAGTATTTGATCTCTCACATCTTCATGTGCAGCTATTGGCTGATACATGCCCAGAAGTCTAATTTCTATTTTCTAGAGGAGTCTGAAGACTTCAGTTGAATCTAATGCTGAGAAGATGCAGAAACAGTGATGATACGATACAATCTGATACGATCCAATCCAATCCAATACAAAGAATGACTTACCCAATATAGTGACTGCCCCATGTGTATCAGTTTCTGTGTTGGTAGGGAAATAAAGTTACAGCTATTGATTGAATGCACATGACTAGAAATACTCATTGTAAACTGAATGAATGTTCCTCACCCTCAGTTCTAGGGAATGCCAACAGCAGAAGACCTGTATTTTATTATATTGGCTTGGGAGGTAGGTATTATATTGGCTCTGTAAGCCATAGACAGCATGAAGCTCAGCTAGCTACCTGGGAGCAAGTCACAGGGAGTGCAAGAGTGCTAGATCTACATCTGCATGTTTGCAGTCCTAGAGTCCCACAGCAATGTGCAATGCGCATCACTTTCTACATGACTTTGTTGGTCATGAGCCAGAGCAGGTCCCAAAATAACAACAGGTGAGAGGGAAAGTTTTTGCATCCTGTTTTAACAAGATATGCCCTTAGTGCTAGCCAAACCAGTGCTGTCAAACTTGCTTTATCCAGCCATTCCTCCAATTTCCTCAACACAGATATTCATAGCTAGAAGAAGGTGGCCATACCACCAGAGCCATCAGTATGGCTTTTGGAAGTTTTTGGTCCTGATGAAAGACTTGGACCTTCTATACTCTTCTGAAATAAATTTCAGGGCCTTTCCATAGTTTGTGGACATACTGCACTTGTCTACTGGCTTTGTGAAGAACGGGACTGCTTCTCCTTATTTCAGAGGAAAAATATTTTACATTTGTTGTGTTTAGAGTCTAAGAGAATAGTAACCCATCCAAGATGGTACTCCCATCCAGATGATCAATAGCACAGTGAGTCTTACCTAGGCTACTAGTAGTGGTGGCTACTCGCTGCAGATGGTTTGGAGTATCCCTATGTAGGCAATTCACTGAATAGCTGTCAAATATCCTTTAGACCATGATTTCTGGATCAAAGAGCCTTTTGAGCTTTTATGAGACTTGAACACTCAGAGCTTGAAATTTTGTAGAAGGCCATGTCTCTGTTTCTGCAAGCACTTAATTCCTTGGTAGCATTTTCAAATGATGAAAAATGCCTCTATTGTGGTTGAAGACATCCTGTTACTCCAATTAGAATATGCCTAGCAGTTCTGAAATGAAAACTGGTCACACCTTTGTGAACACTAATGCTAAATTTTGTCTTTGTTGCATAAGGGTTTGGCAGCTGCCAGCAGTTTTCATGCCAGTCAACTCTGTGCAGCAATAGCAAAATCTGCTTAGTGTCCACAGAGATAGCATTTCATCCTCCTGTTCTGCACAGCTCAGTCCCTGCCTCACCGAGGGCTTTCAATAATTAGAAAACATGAGTCTCATGGCTATATGCACAACAATGTCTTACAGCTCAGTGCCAGCACACTCAAGCAGTGACAGTCACCAGCACCAGGGTAACAAGAATCCAGACTTGCCGTACATCTGCTATGTTTAATGAAGCAGTTCTCTACCCCCCAGTCAATACCTCATTGTATAACTGCATTAAAATCCTCATCTAACTGATATTTGGACCCTTTCCTCAAGTCAAGAGAAATATTTTTCTTCAATGATTTGAATAGGAACAGAGTCAAATCCTCGAAATTGAAAGCATCAAGGTTTTTCATAACTGAGGAAATCACAATACTCAGTAAATAATAATTGGCTTTTCCTAAATGGTAATGTAAGAAGCAGAGTGGTTGTTGAGAGAACATTATATGTAACTATTATACTCTTACTTTGTATGGAACTTAGCATTGGATCTCAGTGAATGAGGGTGGCTGTTTATCCTAAATCCCTCTTTTCTATATTCTATGTAACTTCAATTTGCCAGTTATAAGAGGCATAATAGAATTTCTCCATCTCACAGTACTTTATAACTCAGTTCTACAATCTTGGGATGCTCAAATATCATAGTACTAAGGAAATAACAATTGTTTATAATCACAAAAGTAATAGAAGTGTGGCTCATTATATGAAATGCAATTTTTGTAGATTCTCCTGCACTTTACAGAGTTTGTCTGTTAATCATGACAGATAGTCATACATGCAGGTAGCCCAAGTCTGAAATTCCTTACAGTTTTGCACTTCCCTCATGATCAATGAGAATGGATAAGGAAACTCTTATTAAAACATATGAGAATGTGAGTTTTGTGTCAATGCTTAAATGAAATATGTGATGAAGAAAATAGGACATACTCAGAACATACTCACACAAAGTAATCTTGAATGATGTGACTGTATTTACTGAAAAATAAGAATTTACAGGTAAGTGCTGCATTTTGTCGCATATCATATTATTCTTGATGTCAAAGATATTACATTCCTTTACCTATATAGCATTTTTAGAATAATCATTGCCTAAAAATCTGAATACATTTAAAAGAGTATGCATATTCAATTGCATAATCTTTTTTTTCAACATCAGTTATAGGGGTTTTGTCTCCACTAAAAATTTCTTCCTCTCAAAGCCAAAGGCAGGATAGAGACTCCTACCCAGGAGCCTGTTAATTTTCCCCAGTCTGCTTCAGAGCAAGAAATAATTGTTTCTTCTTCCTCTGCCTTTATAAATTTAAGATTTGACAATGTTATTTTTTATGCTTACTCTATATATAGTTATTATATTATACATATATATATAATATATATAATAGCTCTTTATATTCCAGAATAATATGCAAACTGTGTATAAACCTGATGACTAATATAATGTACTTTCACCTGACAAGAAAAGGCATAGGATCAGATCAAGTAATGACACCGTAAACTGAATTACGTAAATTAGTGCCATTTGTTAGTGGTATTTCTTTAGAATATCCTGATACTTCATGTCATATTTTTCAAAAGTGTTTGTCTTAAAAACTATGTTTATTTCTGGTGTTGATCTCTGTTTTGTGTTACAAGTTAGAAAAAACTGTCCATAGTCTTCTCTAGAAAAACATAGCTCTAAATCGCACAATGCTGGCTAGGAATAGTGAGTATGAAAGCCGTAGGGGGCTCATCATAGGTATCATTTCAGTTTTGTCTCATGAGATGTATCACTGTATACTGCATACTCTTTAAAAGCTTTGTGATGGTCTAGAATTTGGAAATTGTTTCCACTGAGAAAAGTCAGTACATTATATATTTCAAAGCAGTAAAATATTTGACCCTGAATAACAGATTCCATAAATAGCTATTCTAAAAGCCTCTTTCCTGAAATAAATCCTTGCTGAGGAAGAATCACATTGTACTCTCCAATGGTGCAAACTGCTGATATGAATCTGTCTTACGTTATGGAATTTAAGCAAAGCTTGTTTTCCTCCTTTCCTCTCTTCAAATCTGTTTTAAAAAAAAACAGCTACAGTGCTCCAGTTATTCATTAAAGGCTGGTTAGACATATTATTTAGCATTACATATATATAAAATATATAATGACATTGGTCAGCACATAGATTTGAAAACAGTCTCAGTTATAACTTTTATTGGTGGTAGGCTTGATTCATTAGATGAACAGTTTATTGATGTATCATCGGCACCCTTTTCTTCTCTACTTATGTGAAGAGCAACCTTAAAAAATATTTACAGTGGAAATACTTTTGGGGTTTACAGTTTCTTGTTTAGCCCTCTCACCTCTTTTTTGTAGTTTGAAGCAGTTGACTTGAAATATTTTCACATATGCCGGAGCTGTAAGGCTGCAAAGTTTTTGCCAAATGTTCTCTCATTTTTTTCTGGCAGGGGGAGGGGTGAATCCTTTGCAAATTGGCTAAATACCTGTGAAATAGTTGGCAGCTGAAGCTCACAAGTCCTCAGATGTACTTAATGAAGCAATTCCTTACTCATTTTTCACATTATCAATTCTATTATAATAATGATGAAGGAAAGTAAAAAGAAGGAAATAAGATATGGGCTGGAAAGTATAACTGGGTTAAAATTATGAGGGAACAACTAAGAATGAGGAAGGTACAAAAACCGACAAGTAGGTGATAGAAATGAAGATGATAGCATGAAAGATAGAGCCTTGACCTAGAATTGGGGGGGGGGGTAGGGAAACCAAGGAAGGAAAAATGAATTAAAAAGAAAGAAGTAATAACTGAAAATGGAAGCAAGTAAAATTTCCTCATTGTCTCCTCAATAAGCTTAGAAGTATTATATTCCTTGTAAAATTTGTACATTACTGATAAACTTAAAACATTAACATAAGGTGTGTCTTATGTGAGTCATGTAAAAGTTTATTGCTCATGACATTTTTAGAAAGCAAGTACAAAGACTATTTCAGTCAATACAAACACACTTCTTTTGAAGTTAATGACTGTAATATTATATTTTTTCCTTAAAAATATCCCAATTTTAATAACTTTTTCTTAAAAGCTACAATTTCTTAAAGAAAAACACTCCTCAAAGAGATGAGGAACTCTCAGAATTTTAAATGCATTAGTATGGTTATCTAAATCAATATACCGGAGGCAAGCAGCTCTGGAAATTTTCAGTTTGTGTAAATAACAAAAGATAAATACAGCACCAATAATAAAATGCTAATAATTCTTGCATCTTCTCCTCAGACTGGAATGGGACACCTGCGTGTTACGAAAGAAGGCCTTCGTCTGGAAGGGGAGTCTGAATTCTTATTCCCTCTTTATGCCAAAGAAATCCACTCTCGAGTGGTAAGTGATAATCTTACCACTAAGCAGATAATCTTTCAATAATGCTACATTAATGCACTGATGAACAGTTGAATTTAGGCAAATTCTAAGCAGCTGTCATGGAAATATAAATACATGTGCGTGTGTGCATGTATGTGTGTGTATACATCTATGCACACATTTTTGCATACTTTACAAGAATGGTCAGTTCAGTGTTCTGATGCTATGGAAGAATTGCTGTTTTTCTCTTAGGCATGTGATAAGAAGTAGCTCTAAAAGGAATTAAATTCCTTTTATTACATTCCTTAATATTACATTATATGTAAGTAATGCTAACATTTTAAGAGTGTGGAGGAAGGTTTTCATTATTTTTACTGATACTTTTTTTTAAGTGCAGACTTCCCTGTCATGCTGCTTGTTTTGTTTATTCACCCATTATATAATAGTTTCAATATCTCTAAAATCAGTGGATCCTATCAGAAAAATTACAATTTCTCCAATAAGTTCAGGTTTTGTCACTTTTAGGACAATGATATTAAATGTATTATATCTTTATATGTCTACATATATAAAATCTACCAGACTAAATGGAAATATTCAGGATTTAATCATGTTTACATAGCTAGAAAACTGTTGTTATTGAGGTAAAGAAAGAATAACATATTTAGTCAAAGAAAATATTAATGAAGCAGATTAACTTTAAAATTGCACTGAGAATGTGTATGGTAGAAAAGATTTTTATTGAAGTACTGGGTTAAGAGGAAGGGAGAATATGAATTTGTTTTTAATTAGCCAGATGAACTCTGAAACTTATTCTAGTGAATTTTTTGTAGAACAGTATCTGTTTCTGCCCAAATAAATGAATCTTTTTCAGAGCTGTTGTCTGTAAACTAAATTCTTACGAAATGACCCATGTTTTATAAACCAGTCAAACAATGGCACCTTTCAAGTACTATTCAATGAGAATAAAAGCCCGATATGGCTCTTTCATTACTTCAAACTTGCAATCATCCTCACCAAGAACAAATAGCTGGCTATGAGACTTTTCTGAACCTAGGGAAAAATGTAGTCTTTGTATTGATAAAGCAAGAGAAAATGTAAATAAATTTATCAGAAGGAGGTTGTTAAAATGCTTGATTACTGAAATTTAAGCAATGACAGCATATTTTTCATCTGTTAAGCCTTTCTTTTTCTGCAACAAGTATTTCCAGTAGCAGCTCTTAGAAGGTGAAATTGCATTACTAAACCTGTATTTCAGGTTTGATTTTATGTGTATTCTTTTCTGTCTCATAGGCAGTGGGAAAACTTTTTTTGTGCTTAAATGAATTTCTCTTGAGTTTATTTATCCATTAAGGCATGTAACTCTTTAAGACCAGCATAGGTGACACTTAAGAACTCCCTCTTCCCTCCAAAAATGTTAATGCAATGTTAAGCTCTTTTAGAATCATAGATTAGAATCATAGAATAGTTAGGGTTGGAAAGGACCTCAAGATCATCAAGTTCCAACCCCCCTGCCATGGGCAGGGACACCTCGCTCTAAACCATATTACCCAAGGCCTCATCCAACCTGGCCCTGAACACTGCCAGGGATGGAGCATTCACAGCCTCCCTGGGCAGCCCATCCCAGTGCCTCACCACCCTAACAGGAAAGAATTTCCTCCTTATATCCAATCTAAACTTCCCCTGTTTAAGTTTTAACCCATTACCCCTTGTCCTATCACTACAGTCCATAATGAAGAGCCCATCCCCAGCATCCCTATAGGCCCCCTTCAGATACTGGAAGGCTGCTTTGAGGTCTCCATGCAGCCTTCTCTTCTCCAGGCTGAACAGCCCCAACTTTCTCTGCCTATCTTCATATGGGAGGTGCTCCAGTCCCCTGATCATCCTCGTTGCCCTCCTCTGGACTTGTTCCAACAGTTCCATGTCCTTTTTATGTTGAGGACACCAGAACTACACACAGTACTCCAGGTGAGGTCTCACGAGAGCAGAATAAAGGGGCAGGACCACCTCCTTTGAGCTGCTGGTCACGCTCCTTTTGATGCAGCCCAGGATACAGTTGGCTTTCTGGGCTGCAAGCGCACACTGAAGCCGGCTCATGTTCATTTTCTCATCGACCAACACCCCCAAGTCCTTATCCTCAGGGCTGCTCTGAATCTCTTCTCTGCCCAGCCTGTAGCTGTGTCTGGGATTGCTCCGACCCAGGTGTAGGACCTTGCACTTGGCATGGTTACCTTGTACTTGGCATGGTTTAGCTCATTTGTATTCATTCCAGGCCTTAGTACATATAGTCCTATATAGTAAGAGGTAAGGCAGCAGCTCTTAGAAGTTTAGCTGTCTAATGAACTGTCCTGATAGTAACATACATTAATTAAAGCCTTCAGGCTGCTGCATGTCTTTGCCCCTTATGAACCGATAATTCTTTGGGGGTATTCTGTTTATCTGTTAGCTTGCTCTTTAAAATATTTGAACTCTATAGAGGCTTATTAGCCTGTACCTTGATCTCCTGAGTGCCATCTATATATTTATTCTCATAAATTTGCTTATTTGTTATGATTTCTTTTTCTAAGTTTGCCTGTTAGAGAATTAGGCCACTCAGCTATCATAGCAGCTTTCTTGCCTTAATAATTTTCTCCTTGCAGTCTGCTAACTGAAATCTACTTGCTGCGCATCATTTCTGGAACCTATCACAAGTTTATGCCTTCATTATGAGTCCAGCACAGAGCTGTGGGCAGCACCATTGCATCTTCACAGAATCATAAAATAGTTTGGGTAGGAAGGGACCTTCAAATGTCATCTAGACCAGCCCCCCTGCAATGAGCAGACACATCTTCAACTAGACCAGGTAGCCCAGAACCACATCTAGCCTGGCCTTGAGTGCGTTCAGGGATGGTGCATCCACCACCTCTCTGGGCATCCTGTGCCAGTGTTTCACCACCTTCATTGCAAAAAATTTCTTCTTCTCATCCAGCCTGAATCTCCCCTCTTTTAGTTTAAAACCATCACCCCTCAACCTATCACAACACGCCCTGCTAAAAAGTTTCTCCTCATTTTTCTTATAGGACCCTTTCACATACTGAAAAGCTGCAATAAGGTCTCCCTGGAGTCTTCTCCAGGCTGAACAATCCCAACTCTCAGCCTTTTCTCATAGGAGAGGTACTCCATCCCTGTGGTCATTTTTGTGGCCCTTCTCTGGACCGTCTCCAGCAGGTCTGTGTCTTTCTTGTACTGAGGACAGACATAGACTTATGCAGTACTGTGCGGGGGAGAGTCTCACAAGAGCAGATTAGAGGGGCAGAATCACCTCCCTCGTCCTGCTGGTCACACTCCTTTGGATGCAGCTCAAGATATGATTGGCCTTTGGCCTGCTAGTAGGCATTGCCAGCTCAAGTCCAATCTTTCATCCACTATATTAGCTAATACATATTCATGAATGATAAAAGATGAGCATTTATAAATATGTTACTAAATTTTAATTAGTCAGCAACATACATGTGGACGCTGCAGGTCTCATTTAATACTGAAAATTACTAATTTATTTTTTAAATCGACCAGCAACAGTCAGATCAGTGTAATAAAGATGCTCAGATTTGCGAGTCATTTATCATGTGTACTTCGTTGTGATATATTTACCTGATCTTTGTCGACTTTCCTTTTTCACCTCATACTAACTTGTTACCATTAATGTTCATTCTATCACACTGCTTACTTTTTTTTCTTAAGACTTTTCCTAATTTTTGTCAATTCTGTGCTTTCACATTTTCCTGATATAATTTACAAAATGAGATTCATCTATTTTGCTCACTTAGTGACTCCTTTTGAGAGAGCTTATCTTCCTACTTGTAAGATATTGGCCTTTTGTTTAAGAAAAGAAAGTATAAGTTGGACTCTAAACTGTGTATTCCTTCTATCACTTATTAAACACGTGTTTGTAGTAAAATTCTTCACATAAAATGTGTTCAAAATTCTGAAGTTATCTCACACTCTAAGCATTAAGTTATGATGGAAACATGACTTGGGAGTGCTTTTCAGGGGTCAGCCTTTCAAGGCGTTGCAGAAACTCTTGAGTCTAGAAGAACTACTAGAAGCTATATATGTACTATATATATACAATATATACAATATTTCAGTAGTTAGAAAATCGCTTATTTATCTAGGAACAAGTATCACCAGTGTCATAAGCCAACAGCTTACTGATACTGTCTTCATATCATGTTCCTGATATTTTGGCAACTGAGAAAGGTTCCTGTCCTTTAGACAGAAAGTATACTTTAGTATGAAAGCACCTGTACACCAAGCCATGAGTTAACACAAGGGTATGTTTTGGTTTTGGTGAAGTAATTCCACGTTGGTTGCATTTTGAATTGTCTACTATAGCTAGACTCTTAATTGTGATAAGGTGTGCTAGGAGTGAATGAAGATACCAGTTACAGCAGAAAGCATGCCCTGGCTTCTGTAAGTACCATGGATAGCCTTGAGGATCTAGTTGCTCTGCATATGTCCCAGCTGTGGTGCAGGAAAATTAAGTCGATTATGAGCACCATTGCTTTGTGACCTTCCGATGTGATTTAGTATTCTGGAACACTAGATACAGCACAGAGTGTTTTAGGGTCAAATCATGGTGCAGAGATGTGCACAAGCAGGTGATTCTGTGCAGTCTGTTAATACACTTCTGTCATCTTTCTGAGTGGAGGACAGGGAGACGATTTAATTTAGATTGACACTCTTATCTGTACTGTCATGTATTAAAGTCAGCTTTGAGCTAGTCAACCTGCCACTTTCTCCATCACTCTCTCTGTGTTTCCTTGCTGGGAGAATCAGTGCCAGGTGTCAAAAATCAAGATAAAGCATATAGGCTGCATGGACCATTGAGGAATCAGTATGCACACCAATTAATATAACAGTGCAAATTTGCAGAGTGGGGTATTCACAATTCACTTAAATAGACTCTCAATTATGTATTGAAATGTAGCTGATCTAGCGCTTAAGCATTTTTTTATAAAAGATCAAATGTTAGCAACCATGTTCACTGGTCCAGAAACACAGATTTTGTTCACCTAACATGTTCTCTAGGTTTTTCTTATTTTAAACCCGATATAGTTGAAGTTTATTGAAAAATACCAGCCCAGTTTATTTGATGACACTGTGGATGGTTTTTTTCTCCTCTGTACTCCAGGACTCATCACTGCTTCTCCAGTCTACTCACAACGTGACTGTTAATGCTCGCAATTCAAATGGGGAAGTCACAGGCAGATTAAATGTGGGTAAGTCTTAAGTGACTTTTCCTTGTTTGCTGTTTAGGAAGCATTATAATGAATATTTGCAAGGAGCTTTGAGGATACAAAGCAGTAAATGTGATCATTTTTTACTGCTATGGCCATATATTGATAGTCCAGCTGCCACTCAGTGAGTATCGACAGTATGTTTTCAGTTGCTCAGTTCAGCATTGATTCTGTAAATATTTGAAGCACTTCTTTATTGCAGAATTATTCAAGAAAGGCCACTGCAGAAGTTACTCCTTTTCTTGTGTAAATAATCTATTGATAGTTGCAAATTGTTTTCTAAGAAAATAATTTTTTCTTAGAGGTTCGTGTGTCTCACTTCATTTCCTAGTATAGCAGAGACAAAAACATTTAAGCAGATATCCTAAAATTAAAAAAGTATAGAATAAAAATAAGTAACTTTTTTTTTTTTTTTAAGGAAACCAGTTCACAGAAATGTACATACTTTACTGTATTTGGTAGCAGTAAAATACATTGGTTTACATGAGGCAATCAATAGATCTAGACAGATGTAGGTGATAGATCATGGCAGAAAGAATAAGCAGGTATTACTCTTTAAGTTGTATTTTTATAGCAAGAATGTCAACAATATGTGTCACATACAACACATTTTTCATAGTTTTGTTAATAATTTTCAACCTTTATTTGACTTTAGAGAAAAATGTAGCAATTTATTAACTTGCTTCTTGTAAGATTCTCATGCAGCAAAGCATACATTCCTAATTATTTAACTTAGTATTATTAAGTTATTATTAAGTGCTTAAATATTTTACTAGATTGAGGCCCAGGTGAGCAACTTTTCCATGCTGATGGGGCTGTAAATTCTGTGACAGTTCCCGTTTGAAGAATTAAGATATCAATTCATTGAACATACTGCAATCTTCACTGTTTTAAAACAAACTTCAAATAAAAAGTATAGTAAAAAAGGAGACAGCTGTTGCCCTTAAAAATGCATAATTATTCAATTAATCACAATTTGGCCTTCAATTTTTTTTAAATCTCTTGTAATTCAAGCTAATAATTAAGGTCTGAATTATTCTTCATAAGAAAATGTCCCTAAACATTTATCAAAACATGACAGTAGCATTCATATCTCATTCTGATAATAATTAAGGGCTAAAATGCACAATTTGATATTAGTAGTAAAGTTAGTAAATAGTTTGCAATAATTATCTATACAGTGACCACAAGACCAAACCTGAAGTTTCTGTAACTTACAGTGTTGATTCTGTCTGCTTTGTACTGTTTGTGGCTGCCCATCATGGGACTGGACGTGTATCTGCACTGTGGTCATGTGCCTATCCTGCCTAATGAGAAGTTGTCAGGAGATTGTTTTGGAAGGGCAAACCACAGAACATATCATTGGCCACCACACTAATTTGCCCAACCTGATCACTGTCGAAGTCTGAGAAACTTACAGATATAATCATGTCCGACAGTAGCCCAAAGGCATAATGCATTGTTTGACAGGCTGTGTCCAGCCTGCATGACCTAGAACTGCTAATAGGAAAGGTGTGGTATGCAGAAGTTCATGAATATTCAGTCCTGTATTGAGTTTAGCCACTTGTAAGATGAGTGACCCCATCATTAGCAGGTGCTTTTCCACGAAAGTGAAAAAAGCTGCTTTGATTTTTGCTGAACTCAATTCTGTCACCATAGTTTAATATACTCATGATGCACCTGGGGGGCTGTGTCCCTACTGAAATAAGGCAACTTCATAATTTAAGATGGAAACATGATGTACTTTTGGCAGTTGGAGGGTACATGGCTTCTCACACAATGTTTCAGCATGAACAATTAAGAGAGTTTGCTGGGGAAAAAAGGTCAGCACTGAAAAGAGATGCAGATGATTTTCTTGTTTGGACTTTGGCACCTATAATGTAACTGAGGTCCAGAAATGAGTAGTCTTAGTTATTCATGCATAATGTATCTTTCCTGTTAACAGAGCTTCTGTGCTGGAAGCAGTGTAAAGGATATATTTTAATGAGAGGAAAGAAATTCTAGTTCTGTTGTGCCAGGCACTGGCTATAGAACTTACCTTGCCTGGCAAAAGCAGCAACGAATCTCAGACCATCTTTTCTTTTTTTCTCCTTCCCAGTCACCTCTTAATCGTCTTCTGAGAGTGTTAAGAGCAGTACAGAAAGTGAGATGGAATGTCCTGCCTTAAATAAATATAAAGTTAAAAATATCTGCTCTGTAGGGCTTGGTTCCATCTAGATTGAAGAAAACTTGTAAACTGAAGACTTGATAGACAAAGAAGGGTCAATACATACCCGTGTTGTAGAATATGGACTGTGCTGTTTAGTGGGGAGAGTTCCGCTGAATGGCAACTGTCTTGTAAGTAATGACTCATTTAGAGCAAGTACTACCCATATTTTGTATTTTTCCCTATTGGTAATGTGATTCTGTTTCTTCACTTTTCATCACCTGTTTTTTTCTGGCTCTATTCCCAGTAACTTGCAATTCATTGTATTATTGTACCTTCTGATCTCAAGCATCTTTAACCTTTTCCTAAGGAAAAGCCAAATACTTAGTGCTGACCAGTCAAGAAGTTGCCCAGATGTGCAGAGGGGCTGTGTATATGAGTAAACCAGTAGGAAGGAAGAGAGCGTACACTGGAAGACCTCCATCTCACATCTTTTAAATGTGTTCAGAGTACAAAGGCAGTTCAAATACAACACTGAAGTAGGAAAGTTTTGACAGCACTCTGGCTTGCTTTACAAGAAATACTTAGGTAAGAGGGTAAAAAAATGATTTGAGCCTGGGAAAATCAAAACTACATCAAAAGAAAGTGCTAATGTGCATTTGCATATTATTTTAAATGTTTGATATTTAAGTAATCTCTTTGGCAATTCTATTTACTGAATTCATTAATAATTGGACTTATTTGCTGTCTGGTGTGGTTGGTACCTTGGTAAATACTAACATGAAATACTACTAATACGAAATCAGACTAGTTTTAGACTGATGGAAAATGTTGAAAAAAACAGTAGAAACTTAATACTGTAAAGAACTCTATTAATATCTAAAGACATGGCCAAATAACAGTGACTGGGGTAAGTGGCAGTATGTTGAAGTAAACAACCATCTATACATAGCTTGATATTTTTAGCCATTGTCCTTAGACAGTCAAAGAATGCATGCATGTAAGATGATGTTTCCTTAGAAGTGTGAAAAATAGGTGTGTGGCTGATTAAATTTGTATTCACAAGCCTTTTCTAAAGAATTAATGCCTTCCACAGTTGTCAGCATGCTGGTATTATGTCTTAATACTCTATTCATCTTACAAATAGGAGCAATTGCCATTGTGAAGGAACTGTATAGATCAATTTTGGATTGTTCCAAAGATGACAATATAATACAGTATTACTCATAAGATCATAACAGAAATACCTTTTAACTCAAAGAAGATTGTGATTCAAATTATCCGTTAAAATATTTTAATAAGTTACTAAGAGTGATTTAAATATCCAGTCTTCCATAGAAGCAATTCACGAGACAGATGTGAAATAAATCTTTACTTGAGAAGTTCTATGAAATTCGTCACATGAAGATAACAGACACATAGTATGAAAGAATGAGAAATGTTTTCCTCATGAATCACAGATGTATGCAAATGACATTAAATGCAAGCAACTTCCACCATGAGCACTCTAGTTTTAAAGTTTCTGCATGCTCTTTGGTTCACCTGCATGACGTACCTCTTGAAGGAGATATCTGGACATTGTAGCTCTTAAAAAAACATGCTGCAGGTCTGTTGTTTTGGACTGTGTTCCATAATTACACTGCTTTCAGAAGCCTCACTCAATGCAAAGGTATTTAACTAACTGCTTGTCAGGAAAAGACTAAATTTCTGTGTTTTAATCATTTTTGACTTCAGTATCCTTCTGGTTGACAGAGATACCCATTTTCTTTGAGCTACTCTTTTAAATCATTTAAAACTCATATATGATCAAAGAAACTAATATTAAAAGCAAGTAAATAATTTCTATTTAAAAATTAATAATAAAAAAAAAAAGAAGGAAATGGGACTTTTAGTTGAGGGTTTACGGACATGTGATTGCTATGGGACTTTGGAAACATTTCTGAGAGAAATGGGACTTAAAAAGGATGTTGACCAAACAGACAGCAAGGAGGGAATTGAAGGAAAGCACAGATGTGGAAAGGTGTGGAAGAGTCAGATGGAGTTAAGAACACCACAGGAAGAGATGCTTATAAGCAAGGCAAGGATGTCAACAGAACAGATGGTAACTATTTTCGTTAGAATAGCTCCTGTGTTTAAAATCATGAATAAGATTCAGATTTTATTATCACAGCTTGTTCATCAACCTTCAGAGCTGAATATCTAGAACTTTCTTCAATAATCCAAGAAAGCAGTTAAATAAAGCTGCCAACCATCATCTTGAAGATTCCTGTACTTACCACTTCAAAGTCTTATTCAGTCCTAGAACAAAAAAGGAATATAGCACCCTGGGCCGTAGTAGAATCATAGAATGGTTAGGGTTGGAAAGGACCTTAAGATAGTCTAGTTCCAACTCCCCTGCCATGGGCAGAGACCCCACACACTAGATCATGTTGCCCAAGGTTCTCATCGACCTGGCAATAATAAAACAACCTAGTCTAAAAGATTATCAAACTTCGTCAATGGTGAATGATAATGAATAAAAACTATATGTAGAAGAAATATACAGAATACATAGTCAATTATCAAATACTTAAGAGCAACATTGGTATCAAACATTAAATGATAGTTCACCTAAGCAAACATATGCCTATATATATAGCCTACCAGTGGGTGAATGTAATGCAGTCAGATTTGGCAGTGGTGTTCCAGTAGAAAGTAGTTAAAAAGCAGCATGCTTCCAACTATCTTCACTGAAAAGTAGGGTCAGCTTTTGAAAAGATCTGTTTTTCAGACTTATGTCTAGAGATTTCATGTCCATCAATTAATCTGAACAGCTGTTAAAATGAGAGCATTTGTG